GATGGCTCGCTTCAGAATGCGTTCCATCACCTTGCACGGCACGCTAGTGTGGCTTATAGGCCTATAGCTGCCAGGCGATAGTCGGTCAAGAGTTTTCTAGATTGGCGTGACAGTCGCTTCCTTCCAAGCAGAGGCAAGGCGGCCTTCGTTAAGCGACTGACGAAACACCTTGTGTAAATGGTTTGCCGGTGTGGAGGACGTTTCCTCCAGGATCCTTGGATGGACCTCGTCGGGCCCCAACGCACAGAATGGGTGATCTTGTGCTGGAGACCAAGTCGGTTAGAAGCTGTTCGTTGTTACGCCTTGACAAGGGTGGATGTGACCAGGACGCTGAGCCCCAATATAGACCTGGATAGTCTTATCCGTGAACCTCAAATACCACTGTTGAGTCATTCTTGCGCTCTCCGTTTCTGTCCCTCAAGGAGAACGCGGATGGCTGGTTTCTGCGGCGATGTCTCATGTATTTGAACAGTACATCCGTATGGGACCAGATTACAAGATTTTCAGAAAGACATTAGGAGTTACAATATATTAGATGTGTGAGGTATCGCGCTGGCATGCGAGTTTATGTAATTGAACAAACCATCCATTGGCCACCCGCAGGGGGTCAGAAGTGCATTTGACTCGCTTGATGCGAACTCCTGACGGAGAGATCGCAGCGCCCTATGTTGATGGTGAGTAACAGGTAATGAACGATAATGAATGACAAGTAGAGAATTTTTCTCTTCTTTATCCTTTTCTTCTTCCTTTAATGATTGACTTTTGCAGCTCTATCAAGCAGAGAAAAACAGTTGATTTAAGCACACTGGAATGTGTGCTGACAATGCTCCATCGATTGGGTACGAAAAGCTTGCAATCCAATAACCATGCTCACTGAGCGTGTCAACGCCTAATGATCAATCACCAGTTAACTGCTTCGTCAAAATAATGATGTCGAAATAAACAAAGGAGTTTTACAACTGGAGTACAGCTCGTATCGTTGTTGTTACCTGCCCCCGGAACGGGGTCACTTAGGGGCTCGCGATAGTCCATTATACATGGTCGTCCATGACTTTTGAATCTTAGGTGTGACTGTACGGATCATTACCCAACCCTGGCAGAACGGCATCCAGACAAACTCTCATGGTGGCGAATGTCAAAGCAGCAAAGCCCCCGTCAGCATGCTGCCAATGCTGTGAATTGTACTGTGCGTAATTTTACCCCCTAAAAAGCATCAGTTTTCAACGTGCAATCTAAGTGGGCACAAGGAAAGCAAGTGCCGGTCGCAAAAAGCAGGTCAAAGACGCGGCCAACACCGGAGGCCACGAAGCACATGGATGCAGTCAGAACTCCACTTTGATGCGATACATACCACATGTGATAACCAAGTAAATGCTTGTCGCAAGTATGTTACAATCGAGGTCCGCTCACGTCAGTCATTACACGTTTGATCTCCCTGAGGCACACGACCTCTCTACCTACGTTATTCGTAACCTTGTCGACCCTAGAACTGGCTACTTTCGTGGATGACAATTCTAAAAACATTGTTTACCGAGACAATTGTGTTGCTCATCCCCCTTTACCATGCGAACATTCTCCCCTAAGGCAAAGCGTAGCTGATAGTGTTAGGTCCAGCAAGCACACGGGTAGATGTTTTTCAGGTTGAGTTTAGAAAATAAAATGCTATGGAAGAAATCGCAAGAGAGACTCAGGAATTAGAAATTAGAAGGCTGAGGTTAGCGGCTTCAAAGAAGATGCTTTTTGATTATTAGTTCTCAGCCTACGAAATGTCCTTTGCAGGGGAGTGTGAATATAAGTTTTCTTACAATTTACAGAGTGCCCAGAATTTTATCGCAAAATGCACACAGCTGCCTACAAATTCGCGTGGGAGTAATGCCACTGCCGATATTTGAACCGCGGCGCCCAAAATGGCCGAACATGCACGCTGGCCACTACACCATGGCGGTCGTTGGTGGACAGCCGAAAATGGATTTGGATATGTTTGACAATGTTCTTATAAAATTCTGGGCATTCATGAAAGGTTACCAGGTGAGCATTCCTGATCGATTAATTGAAAATAGTACAAGGGTTTTTGTGCGTTCACCATTACTGCTCTCAGGAGTCGAGAGAAACCAAGACACTGTTTCCAACGGGAACTTTCTTCAAATTTGCTTGTGAAACCAAATTGTGAGGCCACACCAGACGACAGAAACTGCAGAAAATTGTCCTGAAACTAAGTGTTTCCGCTAGTATTGAAGGCGACGTGCTTCTGACCAGGAGTGTAACATTTGATATTTTGCAGTCCGACTTTTGCAAAGCTTATTCGGAGACGAAGGGGTGTCAATGCCTAAGGAGGCTCTTCAATTGGCAAGTTTTCATCTTCTACCCCTGCCACTCTGCTTGCTGAAAAACGGGCGAATAGTCGAGAGCCAGTTTTTTGTAGGAATTCGCACGAAAAATACACAACTGCCGGAAAACCATCCTGGAGTGAGACAACCAATGTCAAAACCATCCGGCAATTCTCAGGCTCCCTCTGAAGTTGTCCTCAAAGGCAGGACAACATTGACGGTGACGAGTTATAGTATGACGACCAATGCCGTGAACAGCTGTAGGTGCCGCAAGGAAGAAAGAACCTGTCAGTGGAGATAAATGAGGATGAAGATGAGGTAGATAAGAGCGCTGGGCCAGAAGAAGAAATCGAGAATACCATTGATGCGTAGTTAATGCTGAGAAATTGCGAGAAAAGGTAACGCTATCACATCTAAAAAACAGCTTGGAAGTTGGGACAGAATAAATTTTGGAGAAGGCCGGATGAGGCCTGGAACTTTTCTGCTCAAGTAGGCAGGGGCTCCGGTGGCAGAAGCCGTGGTTACCCCAATCGTAGAGGTCACGGAAGCGGTTTTAAGCATCATGAAAGGAGTCGCTCGTAGCCTCCACGAAGTTCCATATATATGGTTTCATGGCAGACTTTCTGCGAAGCCCAGAGCACACGTGGACGATGAGGGATATTGAATATCTGTCCAACGGTACACCGAGCCTTGACGTCAACTTTCTGAACACTACTGTTTTGGATGACTGCTTGGATGGTTTTCCACCTTGCAGATCTGGTAGCATGCACGAAGGATGAAAACCTCGTGTGGTGGATGGGTACGCCCTGCAGAGAGGGTCGCTCTGTTACGTTGCACCATGGTGCGTTCGTATACCCACCACCCCTCCAGTAGCACGGGTGCATCGCCCATCGCCG